AAGCCCAAGCATGTTTAATTTGAAACCTTGGATCCAATAACTTTGAAGTTCATTGTTAGGAGGCTTTAATTTTATGAATCCTCTAATGAACTTCATGAACTTTGGTCTAAGTGAATCATTTGAACATCGTTGATCATATGTGGTTTGCTTTGAGTACTTAAAATGAATGATATACTTGACAAAAAGCAAATGAAACTTATTGTTGACAAGCTTTGATTTTATCAATCTTCTAATGAGTTTTCAAAAGTAAGCTTCAAGATGGTCATTCAACTAACCTTCTAACTTCTAATGCACTAACAATTAACTTTACTTTATACCTTTACTTTATTCCTTTATTTTGTGCGTTTATTTTTTATGTACCATTTATTTTAGCATTTACATTCTATGCCATTTTTTTATTTTGCTCACTTGAGCATTTATCTTTATGTCATTTTATCTTTGCTCATTTTATCTTTTCTTTTCTTTTTAAAAACACTTAATAATCAACTTGAACATTAAAAGCCTTAAGATTACTTAGACTACTTGGTTACTATCATTGGCATTATGGAGTTGTGGATATCTCGGAATTAAGATTAGAAGCCTTGATACTTGGGACCTTGTGGCTATTTTGTTATTTTGTATGGAGTTCTTGGGGTTTACTCCAAGGAATTTGGTTGATTTTCTTTGTGTGCAGGTTATTCTGATTATATGCTTTGTCTGTGATTGAGAATTCCTCTGTATACAGTCGTTACTCTGCCCAATTTTTGTGAAGACTTAATTCATATAAAGTTTTCTATTTCTCAGAGGTTTAGTATCCATTCTTACTTGGTTTCAAATCCAAAGGATGGGAATTATACATTGACTTCTTTATGTCAAGTATTGGCTTCTTCTTGGTTAGATCGTTCTTTTCTTTAGCTTTTACCTTATGCTTTAGGATAGTCCATTCATCTCCTCCCGTTTTCTTTAATTTAAAAAATCTTCTCCCTCCTTTTCAAAACCCTTCTTGCTTTCTAACTTGAACCTCTTTCATAATAAACTTGGACTTAGGTCCATGCATTTTCAAAAAAAAAAATCTTTATCAAACTTTAGTCAACTGAACTATACTTTTACATATTTTTGAAAGACTAAAGGTCAATCAACCTCATTCAAACCATTTTTACCACTTTGGTTTTTTTTACCGTAGGCAGAGGAGGATACATGGTGTTAGGATTAGGCATACATAATAGAGTATGCATTTGATTGTATTTTGTTTATTTTTCATCGACTTGGAGAATAATTGTTGTATTATTATATTTGTTTTTTATAATATTCGGTTTTATTAAAGCAAAATGGTTTTATATTTATTCATTTTTATTAATAGCTGAAACAAATAATGACAATTTTAATCGAATTAAAATTAGTTTGGATTGAAAACTATACAATCTTAGAAAATTGATTTTTGGAAAAATCACACAGGCAATAATTCAGAGATGCATCTCTAAATTATCTCTACACATGGTTCAAATATGTATCTCCGAACCAATTTTCTTAAGAAATGAGGGGTTGTTTGATTTTTTAAAGACAAAAGGCAACTCCGGAGATGTACCTGCGAATTTACCCTTGAGGTGTATTCAGAATGCATCTCTGAACTAAAATGATGAAAAATGATATTTGATTCATTTGGATATACATTTACGAATTCATCCAAGGAAATTTTTGAATTTTCATAAATGTGTCTCATATAGCAAGGGTGGGACGGGAAATTGCCAGACATTATTATAGAGCAATTATATGTTTGTATGATTGCATCCCCCACAGGCTAATGGAATTGCAATAAACAGTATCCTAAATATCGAGAAATTAACATGTCACCCCCAAAATTTAACATTTGAAAATTTCAGTCACCCGTAAATTTCAAATTTCCGTGTTAGTACCAGAAGTTTCAATTATACTGAAACTTCTGGTAGGTTTTAATTTCAGGTTTTTTCAACGGTTGAGATTTTACCGACATATTTAGAAGGTCCTAATTGCACTGACACATTTGTGTGGTCTAGAATGCATCACCATTTGTATAAATAGGGGTCTCAGAAAATGCCTCTTCATAAGTATTTGATTCTTGTAGAAGTGTATTACAACGACAACAACCCTCGTATTGAATTCAAGCTTCCAAATGGTTCTGAATCTTTTTCCACTTTAAAAGAAACGTTTAATGGATTGCTGCCTGATTCTGATAACAGAAGGGTGACAAAAGTCGAGTTTTGGGAGGATCGAATTGATACAAATGGAAGGGTGAAATACAACATAATCGATTTGAAGAATGATGAAGATGTGAAGGCCATGTGGAAATCATTTTGTCGTAGGATAACTAAAGGTTCGATCGAGTTGGACGCGTAGATCCGAAGATTCGTCGACGACATAATGAAGATGCTGAAGCGTCTAGAGTCATCTAATAGTGTCTAGGTTTTCATGTTTTGGTGTACTATTTATGTTTGTTGTTTGTTATTTAAGTTTTTTAATTATATTTGTTGTACTATGTTATGTTATTTTCTTCATTGAATCGAAACATGTAATCGCCAAAAGATTATGCAATCAAAAAGATGTCTGTTTGTCACAAAATATACCTATAATATAACCATAATAAAATAAATCTACATAGGCCATCCACGGGAAACATTGGCCAACCTAGCTAAACTAGTATAAATCTCACCATCAGGGTTTACCAACTCTATGAGGTTATCTAAATGAATGACGATGAACTGTAGGCGGTTGTCCTGGTCACCTGTGGGAGGTGGAGGTGATGGTGCTGACTTGGAAGAATCAAACCTTCTGGAATGGCTTGCTTGGTCTTCCATATCGCACATGGCGATGATGTCTGAACACGCTGGATCTTCCGCTCACAGCTGTGAGGGAAGTGCTCGTATATTCAACACTGCATAAATAAAAACCATCTAATAAATACACTCAAATAATTAATAAAAACCATCAAATAAATTATAGTATACTTGTAACAAGCTGAGGTAACCAGCAAGTTGCTTGGTCTCAGGACGAGAAGCAACGTCAAGTGTTGTGTACAGCATGGTCAAGGTCGCCACTTTCCAAGTCCAACATGGAGTGTCAAGTGCGCTGAAGAGAAACAAGTACTGAACATCAATATAAACTTCAGACTTGTCCGCAAAGAGAGTACATGCCACCAGATGTAATATATACCCCTTAGCGGCAACCTGGTACCTCTCTGCCTCCACAAGCACCTTATACAACCTCCTCAGCCAAGACATCCGAAGGTGAAATCCCCGAATCTCACCAAACTTTTGTAGCACCTCCAACTCAGAAACCTTCAAAACATCCATAATCATGTGCATCGCCATCGCCTGGTCCCTATAAACTGGTGTAAAAAATGTACAACAATCAGAATGTGAAAGACGGCGTCCACATCATCTAAAGTCACCGTCATCTCCCCAAATGGAAGATAGAATGATGATGTTTTCAGATGCCACCTCTCAATAAAAGTTGATAATTGGGAGGCGTCCAGCATGAACAATGAGCAATCAGCAAACTCCAGAAGATGAAACTCTCTAACGATCCTCTTCACCTTCTCAAGCATGGGACTCATGGAAATTCTTCAACTTCGAACCATGAAAAGTGACCTTCAACACTGGACGCTCCTATAAAAAGCAAAAGCAAATTATTATACATCAAAACTTGTAAGCAAAAATATAAATTATGCAATTAAACAAAACCAAAAATATATACCTCGCCATGGCATATCCTATAAGCGACATGCTCCACAAATCCTGTCAGCACGGACCTGTCTGAAGATCCTCCAAGAAAACCTTCATCAATGTGTATTGATGGCTCTATAGGCGCACGAGTCGTGGTGCCTGTATCAGCGGGAGACACCTTACCAACTCGCTCAGCAACAACCTCCTGCTCAGCCTCCTGCACCATAGGCTCCACAATATGCTCCTCAACTACCGACTCCATAATAGAAACGGGAGTTTGTACCTCCTTAGTAGGAGCTTGTACCTCCTCCGTAGGAGCCTGTACCTCTTCAGTAGTGAATACTCTAACACCCCGACGATAGGGTGCGCAGAACTACGCTTGCTGCTCAACCATCTATTTTCGGTGAGAATTGGTCGGAGGACGGCGTCTAGCCCGTAGCTCTAAAGCCTGCGCTTCGTTAGCTCGGGCTTCAGCATCAACTCTATCAGTGGTCTATTCTGCCTTTGGTCCTCACTGCAAAATAAGAAAATATTAAGAAAATATAAACTATCAGAAATTTCTAAATTTCTAGTATTTTTCAAAAAAAAATTGAACTATCAAAATTTTCAAAATTTTCGATATTCTATGACGTACCGGAAATTTCAAAATTTCCTATATAAATGGTAAATAAAAATACCAAATATTTTGAAATTTCCGATACGAAAATATCAGATATTTTAAAATTTTCAGTACAAAATATCAGAAATTTCCCAAATCTACTTGTTCACAAAATTTCCGATATCGCCTTTGAAAGTTCTAGTATCGCCCAAAAATTTGAAAAATCCAATTAACCACGTAAAATTGAAATTTGTGATGAATAATTTAAGTGTGGACAATTTAATTTTTTCTTACCAATTGGAGAGTGTCATGAGTGTCATGTATAATATAGTATAGGGGAGACAAGTATCACATGCAATGTGTTTAGTACTCACCCACCTAAAGTTGATTGTTGTTGTGTTTAGTACTCACCCACAAAAAAAAAGTTGATTATTGTGCCTTGTTATCATAAAAGAAAAACTGATCATTGTGGCTGACGTTCTCATTTTAAAACCCTTTCTACGTTTCCCAGTTAGAGCATTCACTCTTCAGAATTATTCAGTTCTCATATTTAGAACAGCAATAAAAAAGGTGCAGACTAAAGAATAACTAACCATCAAAATTCTGAAGGAAAAGTGAACGCAACAACAAAATATTTTCCCACTAGATGGGGTTGCAGCATAGATAAAAAAATGATATAGTATATATTGCCATGAATTATATCTAACTATCATAATTGTGACTAAATGATAATCAAAGTTTGGAGCATAGTGGGAAAAAAAAGCTCTGCATGGCCAAAATATGCCTGGAGAGGCGATGATCCGCACTCTTCACTACGACAGGAAATACAGACGAATATCCAAAATTTAAGTACAAAGCGGCCCACCTATTACATTACATTTCAGTTATTCAAAGATAAGAAAAAAGAAACACAACAACATTCACAGATAGATTTTATTGCATCTTCCGGGTTTCTAAACGGGGATTTTGCATGCACACAAAATTGAGACTCGTCCGCTTTTGATGAGTTTATGTCCATACATGTTCTCTGTTATATTCCCGTACAACGACAGGAACACTTGTAGGGGGGATCTGCCAAAGGTAAATTGTAAGATCTTTTGTTTTTATTACTCGGAAACAATCATCACTAATGTTTGAAGATACATGAATCTTATCATTGAACTGTTAGATCCCCTGCAGCCGCTACACCATACAAGTACAACAACCATAGAAACAGTTAAGATCTAACAGTATCTAACAGTTTTTATGGCGCTACTGCACCATATAACGGCTGTAGAATATCTGTTTTTTGGTTTAGCTATATTTTATCCTTTTAATTTTTATTAATCCAAATTGTTATTTTAATACAGGAATGCTATGCAGCCCAAAGATAGGGAGCAGTTTTGGTATTTACTTGTAGCAGAAAATAGATAAATCTTTTTAAAAATCCATAACTCACCATGCCATAATCGGTGACAATCATTGAAACATAATCTGAAGGCGTTGCATCGTAGCTGACATTGATTTAGAAACATATAAGGTCAAAGTAAGGAAATAAAAAGTTTTGTATTATCTCATTACATATAAATGCCTTACACCAGATTTAGAAGTTGCAGATTTTCAGTATTGGACCAAGCATCTAAGTGGTTAACATCCTGTCTACCCGAAACCTTTGAAACGACATCTGGATCACCTATAAGAAAACGAAAAATCAGCCTTCTTCCAGACAAAAAGTCAAATGAATCCTATTCATTCGCTATTGTTAACATACCAAGTTCATTTGAGCATATTGAGTCAAGCTGTACCCTTTCATGAAATTTAAAAGCTTCACAACAAACTATAACAGGGACATGGAATGCATGAGCAACCATTGCAACACATGCAGTCCCAACTCCTGAATATACTGTTCCATTAGACAACACTGATGAAGCACCCAGAAAAACTCGAGTAACCTCATGCATTATGTAGGAAACAGCATTGATATGAGTGTATGTACAACTAAGACCTTCCTCCACTAGTCTCCGAAGCAAAATTTTCCCTCTATGACTTGGACGAGAATCTACTACTACAACTCGAAACTGTTTCCCTAATTTATGTGCATGTAACAGTATCATTTCAACTGCTGACGATGACCCATAAGTAAGAAGAACATCGCCATCTCTTATTTTTGTGACTGCAAGCTCTACTATCATCTTGTCAGCAAGTATAATCTTCTCATATATAAAACGCTCAATATCTGATTGAAGAGAAGTTTTGGATTCTGACTCAGACTGTGTCCGAGGCAGCTGTGAAATTCGACTTTTGAGAAATCTAATTGCATTTCCCATACTGACTGAAAGAGGTCGACACTCAATAAGGAATGAAACATAGCTACTTATTTTTGCTGTCAAGTCTCTCACTAGAGTCTTCCCACGTGGAACTGTGTAGTCTTTGATTGCATCCTGGAATGCTTGAAGCATAGCAATACAACGAGCATTGCCACCAGAAATATCTCCAGAGAGATACTGCAAACCCACCTGATAACCACGACAAATACAACTGCTTAGAGGAAAGCATATCCAAAAGGACCAATTTGCAAAACAATTGAAGTGGGTCTTAAATCTTAGTCAGGAATCACCAAGCAAGGGACCAATTTGCAAAAACAATTGAAGTATATCCAAGTCTCAATGAAAACGCCAATTGTTAGGACTTACACACGTGAGGAGAGTCAAATCTAAAAGACTAGTCCATTAGGTGGCAGAGCCTCATGGCTTAAGTACCCCCCATTGAGCACTTTTATTTACTCAACGTGGGACTCCTAACAATTTGAGGATAAAGGAAGGAGTAAAGGGAAGGAGAACGGTGAGTCTTGCATGAGATTTTATTTTTCTTCCCTGAACTAAAGCCTCCAATATGGGGGAATTCAAAAAATGCATTGAGGGAGGTCTTTGGAGGGTATTGGAGGATTTTGAATAAATTTCCAAATCTTCTCTTTAGACTACTTGAAAAAAAAAACTCAACATAAGTATTTTCATCTCATTTCCTTCATCTTTTCATTCCTCCCATTCTCTCCCTTTCTCTCCTAATTCCCAAACATAGCCTATGTGTTTAGCTTTAAACATATTATTGCACTAGAACTATTAGTGCTTAGTCTGTGTTTCTCATTCTCTTACCTCCACTCGGCCCTAGACTTCAAAAATTTAATCACAAGTGAAATAACTAAATAACTCCAATGATGTGCCCACTTGTTTGATGACAGTGTAGAATTTACCCAGCGGTGGCTCAAATCCGAACTCAAACAATGAAGAGATTTTATTTCAACAATTCAACATATCAAAATACATAATATCACTATTACCATTATACCATACCAACCAATTACATGCTCAAGATGTATTACTAGAGATGCATCAGAATGCAAAACTCCAACCATCACACTGCATGAACTCAAGCGTGTCTTATAAAACTGAATTTCAACAATGATGTTTTATTGATGAAACATTAAGCACTAAATTTGTAATATTCTAAGGAAATGAAGAGCTGAAATTGTAATAAATGAAACTAATGGCAATAAACAAGGCTACACGTAAAAAAACCATTTCCAATTAATGATTTGAATATAAAATGTGTAATTAAGGAGTACCATAAAAGATCTTTATGCTTGGATCTATTTAACACTTTTCCACTCTTGACTGTGTTATTAAATAAACACATGTAAATCAATTTAGAGCTGGATCTTTCAATTTTTAAGTTCCACAAACGATTTCTATTTCACATAGGTCCTTGGTTGAGTTTACTAAATGTTTAGTTATGACATGAAGGATAAAAGGGCAGTGAACACCTATGTAGCAACAATAGTTCTGATGGAAGGGGTGTCCAGAGTGTGATACCAAACATGTGATTACACTCAATTAATTAATTTCTTCAAATTTCTACTAGTGTCAGTGTCGTGTCTGGTGTCTGTGTTCGTGCTTCATAGAGAAACACCATATTTAGAATGTTGTACTAATGCACTAAACCATATATATATTATGAAAGGAAAAAAACCTGACCATATAAGAATTATGGATTGCAACAAGTTGAAAAAACGGGATAATATCGCCACCTTATAAACTGAAGGATGCACAGGACCAAGCTGGAAAAACTTTGCCTCAAGATCAGGAAGCTGACTCCCATGTTCATACTGTGGCAAATGTCTGAATAGTTCAACTCTGTTCCTGGATTCAGTTTGGTTTACCACAGCACGTCGTTTAGCTTTCTCCACTCTGCTCTTATCATCATACTGCATGCGTGGGTGAGGAACATCTTTTTTCCTATCCTTCTCTGATGACCGATCACCTCCCTTTTTCTCAGAAGCCACAGCTGAAGTATTAACATCTTTGTGTGGGGGCTTTGCAGCTTTAGCTGATTTTACATTCGCTGAAGTTGCAGTTCTAGATGCCGTATTTCCTTCAGCTACAACAGATAATATTAAAGCTCATACTGATTAGCAGTGTAACAATGACTTATATTACCAAAGAAATTCATGAAAGTCCATTATCATGTCCTAATATAAGCAATGCTAAAATCATTACATACAAACAACATTTGAATCCTTGCACAGAAGGCTGAAGATGATACTAGGTCAATTGACAGATGAATTCTTATATTCATGTTTTGGATTCACTTGTTTTCGCAGAGAAATTCATAATTAAAATCAAAATGTTCAACAATGAGAGGCTATTCAAAGGAGATTTTGATGTAATACAATCAAGACCAACATCGCACTAGAAAACACAAGCATGCTGAATGCTAATACACACCTTTTGTAGCAGCCTTTGCCGCATCCTTTGCTTCTTGAAGAGCTCTTCTTTCAGCTTTTGAGGATTTGTCTTTCTTCTGTTTTGAATTCACAGCTTCGTCTTTAACTTCCACTGCAGATCCTCCTCCTTTGATTGGCTTCTCTCTTTCTGTGGGAAATAGCAAACAAGGGCAAGGGAAAAGGGTAAAAAAAAATACTTGAATTCTTAACCTAACTTATGATTGCCCAAGACACCTTCAAAAAGGCCATATATGGCCAGAAACAAAAACAGCAAACAAAGAGAGCATATTAGAATTGAAACAAAGTAGATTGACAACAAGCAAGTAGGACTATTTTCAACAATTATTTCCCATATTTTCTGATTGGCCAAACAGTTAAAACATAAAATGAACACTAATAGAAGAGTAAAAAATTTATCAATATCGCAGCTGGCAGAAAATGAATGCAATTTTTAATTTGAAAAAAAAAAACTAGCAAAGCAAAGCCATATCATTGCAAAGGCTAGATATGAATGAATACAAAATTAAGTGGTTTAAGAAAGTATTAAGGACAATATATGCGGTAATAAATGTTTGCCTAGTGAGTATAAAGCATAATTGTATTATACTACCGTGTTAATCACACAAGATACTCATTGTAGAAACTACAAAGCTGTCTTAAATAAAGCTCTGGCCAACTACAACAACAACTCTTATCACAAAGTAGGACCGGCTACATAGATCAACTCTTTCGCCATAATATTCTATTCAACACCATGTTTCTATCTAAATCGTTAACCTCGAGGTCTTTCTTGATAACTTCTCTTATAGTCTTTCTAGGTTTTCCTATTCCACTAGCTGCTTGACTTCTCTTCATCTGATCTACTCTCCTTACCACCGACTTACGTATCTCCTCTCTACATGCCCAAATCACCTAACTTTATTTTTCATCATCTTCTCTACTATAGGTGCTACCCCAAAACTCTTGCCTAATTTCACAAAATCTTAAGGAGCAATAAAAACTTAAAACAAATACACTATAGGCAAGAATTGATTTGTAAAAGTAAATTCATGAAATTGAAACAGGAGAAATAAAGTACACCACGTTTTCCTCTTATTGTCAATGCAAACGAGATTTATAATGATTACCCAAAATCAGGAGGCCATAATGCAACTTATTTAAAAGCACGTTATAATGTTATCATTAAATAACATGCTTCCTAAAGAAGCTCCTCCAATAATCCAAAAATTTAATTGCAATCATAAATGCAAGACTTTATCACAAACGCCGATTTCAACATATTTAATACAAATTTCTTAAAGAAGCGTGCAATTATCAAATCAAACATCAAAGCATTAATTAAGAATTCCACTTCTAAATGATCTGAACCAGCACATGTTACTATCATTTATTATAAGATAAGCATTAAATTCTGTAAACATTGAATCTCAAGTACGCATTCAGTAACAGAATAAGCCAATAATCAAAACACAATCGCACAATCATACAAATCTTCATTTAATCCAATTAAATGTAGTAATAATAAACATTTAAAGCCTAACTTCTCAATTAAATCAAATCCTCTTAAATTTCAGTATCTATCTAATCCACACTACACTAAACGAAGTTCAAATTCAAAGCATATCAAATTCTCAATTTCAAAAAGATGCAAAACCTCACCGTCAATGGCAAACGAATCAGCATTGACCACAGAAACCGTAGTCAAATTGCACATCGGAATTCCGCCACAGCGAGGTAAGGTAGAAGCCACCGGAGACGGAGAGAGAGACATCGGAGCAGGAAATATCTCTTCGGAGCAGCTATTCTGGCCCCTGGAGACGGCAATAGTTTCATCCCGGGAAGTTGAAGTGACGGAAGGTTGAGATTGAGAATGTAGTTCGAGATTCTCCGATGAATGAAGCGGCGGAGGGATCATAACCGGAGAGAGTGAATTACCGGAAGGAGAGAACTCGAACGGAATCGGAGCGGGTGGAGCGAAGAAACCGACCATGCGAATTTTAGGGTCAATGACGGCGCGTGAGCTACGACGCGCGTCCATAGTAGAGTGAAGTGAAATACGGTTAGGGTTCAAGTTTCAGTGTTGAGCATGTTTTTGTGGAGAGAAATGGGAAACTTGAAGGGAAAGAAATGGAAATTTTTTTGTCCTTTGTTCAAGTTGGGTGTGGGTTTAAAGTATTTCAATCATATTCACGTGTTATTTGGTAACGATTGTTTTTGTTAACCGTTTTTATTGTTTTTTAATTGAAAAAAGATAGTGAATTGAGGTGGCTTTTTGAGAAGTTTTTTGTTGCGTTATGTTTTCATGTGAAATGGGAAGGATTGGAAGAAAGAAAGAAAGTAAGTTAAGTGGGGTTTAAGTTTAGATAAGAGAAGGATTAAATTTGGGTTTAAGTTTAGATAAGAGAAGGATTAAATTTTAATTGTTTGTATAATGAAAATTAGGTTAAAGTACAAAAGCACCAACAATGGACTCATTCTATTTTACAATGAGAAATGAGAAAATAGGAGATCTATGTCTATTTTGTGAAATTATTTTATTTATATATTTCATGTGTTTCGTGTTTTACGTTAAATTTCACAAATATTTTAAAATTAGTGGTGTGATTTGATGGAATCATTTATTTAATAAAGGAATAAAGAATAGTGTAAAATTATTTTATATTTAGTGTATGTTTTTAAACTCTTTGACATTATGTTATATAAACATTCCTTATGTTTTATTACATGTTAATTTGAAATGAATCTTATATTTATCATTATTTTTATTCTTTTATGTGGATCTCATTTTGTATTGATATAAGTGATTTGTTGAAAATATAAATGTTCAAATTTACAAATTTGATCGCATGATGTAAGTTTGGTGTTATAGCTCATATTTGATGGTCTGGAAGGAACATCTATATTAGGTCAAAAAACAACCATATATGTGAGATCGACATCACGTATTTGTCAAAAAATTTAAGATATTTAGTATATGAGTTATATCATTTATAAAATGTTCAATTTCTATTTTTTAAGTAAGGTGAGACTTCTAATTTATACTTATATCTCAACAATCTTTCCTTCAAATGTGATTCGATTCATCGTTAATAACGATCTTCGGAGACAACAGTGGTGGAACATAGTTAGGAAGAGGGGCACGACCACTCCAAACTTTTTTTTTCATATTGTGAAAATACCAATGTACCCCTATTTGAAATTAAAAATAACTAGTTTGCCATTAATAATTCCAACTTTCTCTATTTGACTATTAACCAAACAAGCCCTAACACTTTTATATTTTTCATAATCCATTATAGTAACAAAAAAACATACACACACTCTCTCTCTCTCTTGAACTTTAAAATATCTCTTTCTCAAACTTTAAACTATTATGATATTCCGCCACTGCTTCGTCGTCGCCGGTTTATTCATCCCACCACCTTCGCACCGTCGCCGAAAACCACTGTGAGTTTGCTTCAACAGTACTTGTTGTTAGGTTTTTGAAAATTAAATTTATCCTCTTGAAAAACAAATGTTAGCTTGCCACTCTCATTTTTGTAAACAGATGTTAATAACAAGTTGTAAACAAATGTGATTTGACTTGTGATTGTGAACTCATCTTAGTTTGATTTGATTATTTACTAACTTACTAAGTTGTGTAAGATTGGATGTGAATTTAGAGATTGATTTGGGATTTTTTTTGTATTGTATTGTGTTGGAATTTTAGTTGAACAATACTCAACTAAAGTGTTTTTTTGTTAATTTATTTAATTGATTATGAAGCACAAAAGTGATAAGGAAGAGTAGAAAAAATGATTCTTTTTTCAGTATGAAAGAAAGAGATGAAGAAAACTCAACACCTATGTCAGAACCTTAAAGAGTTCTTAAGAATCCAAGAATTATAGAAAATGTTAATAGAGTTTGTTCGAATGACATTGAGAATTCTTTAGAATGTGATCCTGGAAAACATCCTTCAATGTTGGAATATCATGTAAATCAAATAGATGAAATACGAAGAGCTTATTTAAAATGGGGTCCATATCAAATGCATTTAGAGCAATATCCATTGTCTAGTAAAGAAGACCATCAAATACGATTTCAACACGCTTAGTTTAGCCTTTTCCTTCATGGTTTGAATATTCATCTTCAGAAGCTGCTACTTATTGCTTACCGTGTTATCTCTTTAGAAAAATACCAAGTGGACGTCGTGGTTCCTGTAAGAACAAGATTTGCTTCTGCATTTGGCCTTGAATTTTGATGATAACTTTACATGAGTGATTAGATAATAATTTAGTACCCTAATGATTTGTTTAATGTGTAGCTTTTGTTAACAGATTTTGTCTATAAAGAAGTAACGTGTGACATCATTAGATCATGGATTAGAATATGTCTTAAAGCAAAAGTTCTAAAAGAACGTTAGTTTTATTTCTTCTAACACTGTGACTCTGTAGTAAAGCTTCTGATATGTTCTAAAGCTCTTAAGATTCCAAGTTATCTTGCCCAAGTTCTGAAGATTCTTAAGATAAGGTTTTGTTGAACGAGTTTTGAAGATTTTGAAGACCAACGGTTCTCTAGACCAACTTTTGAAGACTCTGAAGACAAGGTTTTATTGAACGAAGTTCTGAAGACTTTGAAGAAAAGGTTATGAAGACTTTGAAGACCAAGTGCTGAAAAATCTGAAGACAAGGTTCAGGTTGAATAAGTTCTAAAGACTCTGATGACATGGTTCTAGAGACTTAGATTTGATCCTTATTAAAATTATAGTATACAAATAACAATATCCTAACACATGTTGAGACAAAGATCTCTATGTAACAACACTTGGACTGAATAAAGCACACTGATATAATTCATATCAGAACAGTCATGAAAGATGTTCCAACATCTTATATGACATGTCAATCAATCAAGAAACAAAATTGAACAATGCAGAATGATAATAACACAAAGATATGATGATCTAGTTCAGTGTACAACAATACCTACTTTGGGGGCTACCAAGCCAGAAAGAGAGTCCACTATCAGCAATATTAGTTCAAAGTTAAACTCCCTCGTTTACAACTTTTCACCTAATCCCTACCCAATGACACTTCTACTTAGGTCCTCCATAATTATGAGAAATCGTCATCTCACTTCCTAAATCAACTCAGTGATATCTAACAGCCACAACATTCAGCCAAGACTCTTGACTAACAAACACACTTGGATTTTCCTCAAAGCTTCATCCAAGAACAATAATCGACTCTATGCTTAAAATCTTAAGAGAGATTGATATACAAACATTCAATGCTTACAAGCTTATGAATGAATGACAAATCCTTACAACTCAAGGAACAATCCTACTCTTCTATCAATATGATAGTCAAGAGGCTCACAATTAACACAGACCAACTCTCCTAGAGAGTGGCACACAAATGAAGCCCTAATAGATTACATATTTACATTCACGACTCACTCTACTTTTAGGTTAACAACCTTCTATTTATAACCATTTACAAACTATATTTTAGGCTTCAAATCACAGCATATCAGCTGCTACAAATCTGCAGAGATTTCTGCATAAAGATAGGTCTTCAATCATGACTTTCTTAATTTATCTCCATAATTAGAAAGTCAATATTCTTCTTGATTTCAACTTGAATCTTCCAGACCTTAAAATCAACTCCATATAGGATAGCATAATATTACCATAATATTTTGCATTTGTTAAATCTTATACCAATCCAACATCCCAGCCCAACACAGTCACAATGTTGAATGACTCTGCATAGGATATCTTGTCTTACATGTTGCTTCAGTTGATGAAACATTTCAACTCAAAATGTTTCTTCATAAAATAGAACTTCTTGTTCAACATGTTTTTCTCAGCAAATCATCCTATTTAACACATTTCTTCCATATTTGTTTTACCAAAATTAATGTCAATCCTAAGTACAGAGAAATAACAATCTCCCCCTTTGGCAAATTTTGGCTAAAACAAATATACACATTACAAGTCAGATTACAAAAAAATAATAACCATAAACTGTAGTCTTCTGAAGCTACTAAGCACAGTAACATGGAGGAACATCTCTTTATAAATTAAATGATGTTTGAACATCATGCTTGATATGGAACCTTCTTTACAGTATTCTGAATTAGCTCCATTGCAGCACAAAAACCCAATACCAAAGAACAACAACTTTAGGAGAAAAGAGTAGAAAGTCCTAAAGTAATTTGGTGTACATGAGGAAGAGGGTAACAGACACTCCCACTTAACAGCAACACCATAGATCGACACTCCCCCTTAATAGAAACATCATAGATCCAATGGTAGAAACATAGATCCAACACCAGATGTTGTACATGAGAAAGAAAATGATTGACACCCCCTCAACCCAGGAACAAATATTCCTCACAGGAAGCATAAAAGGAAACTTAAGAGGCATAAGAGAACCATTAAGAACCAACCAAACACCAAGCTCAACAATTCAGATGACGACTCAGGCATAGATTTTGATCTTAGGTAACTCAGAACACAAGACACAATTGTGTTCATAACTCATATCACAAGACACAAAAAGAAAACGGAGACATGATGAAGACTCGGACATGATGTCAGAACATCCTATTAAATATCCTTCAAAATAAGTTTAAGAACAAACGCAATGCTCATATGGTGACCAGTACCTTTCTCCCCCTTTTTAGCCAAAACTTGACAAGGATATCCCCCATAAAACCATACCCAAACTCGGATAAAATCCATTATAGTTTTGAAAAAGAGACTATCACAATATGATAGAAGATACGGAAAAACCTCTTTAAATAGCTGAGCAATTTTATAAGAATTAACGATCCTTGACTGTAACGATGGTCTTAGTTAAAAATAACGTTATTTGAGGAAGCTAATTGCACCAAAAGTAAATGTATACCGTCCATGTCAGTTTTGAATTCCTTTATTGATTCAAAACAAATTCTTCTAAACCTAATAGTCCCAATAAATACGCATGCAAAGACAACAAAAATCACATGTCATACTCTCTCCCTTGTTGTTCTTGATCACATTGTCCAACTTGT